CACTAGTAGTTGTGTTTAAATATTCTAAGAAGCAAGAATAGAAGAAGGCAGACAAACGAGGGGTGATCATAATATAACAGGCAAAAAAAGACTTCATTCTAACTAGGAGTGACATCCGTGGAGATAGTAAGAAGTGGACAGAATTTAGACATATTTTGAAGATACAGCCAACAARACTTATTGATTATTAGATAAGTGTATAAGGAAGAGAAGTGTACAGAATAGCACCCAATTTTTGGCCTGAGCAAAGGAAAAACTGTAGCTGCCATCACTGAAATAGGGAAGTTGTGAATAGAACAGATTTTAGGTGGGAGGATCCATTTTGGCAAAGTCAACTTTAAGAAGTCTATTAGACTTATAAGTGGAGATATCTAGTAGAGCAGTTGGATATAAAAATTTGGGGTTCAGAAGAAAGGTCTGGATTAAAGGTACAAGTTTGAGACATTTCAGCATATAAATTCAGGATATTTCAGGCCAATGAGCTAATAATATCACTGAAGAAATCACTGAGTGTAAATAATGAAAAGAAAATCAAGCAGGAAGAGAATCAGGAAAGGAAAAGATAAACAATAAGACAGACAAGATATTATGCACTATCCTGGAAGTTAAGGCAACAAAGTATTTGGGGGCAAGGGAGAAGAGAGTTATCATCATCCTTATTAATGTCAGCAAGCAAATCAGATAATGACAGAACTGCCCAAGGAACCAAACAACATAAAAATCATTAATGACCTTGATGACAGCAGTGTGGAAAGAAAGAAGTAAAGGCCTACCTGGATTGGACTTCAGAAAGAACAGAAGAATTAAAGAAAGCTGGTACAGACAACTCTCTCAAATGGTTTTGTTGCAAAGGGAAATAAAACTAGGCAACTATTTTAGGGGGAGGCAGTATGACAAGAATATTTGTTGTTTGTTTTACCTTTTCCTTTTTCTTTTTTTTTTTTTTTTTTTTGTACTGGAGATTAAACAACTGAGGAGCACTTGTCCACTGAGCCACATCCCCAGCCCTATTTTGTATTTTATTTAGAGACAGGATCTCACTGAGTTGCTTAGCACCTCACTTTTGCTGAGGCTGGCTTTGAACTACAATCCTCCTTTCTCAGCCTCCCTGCCACTGGGATTAAATGCATGTGCCACTGCGTCGGCTTGTTTTTATTGTTTAAAGAAAAAAAAAATAATGGTAAATTTATGTTCTGATGAAAATGAGAGTAAAAAGTTAGAACTTGAGGTTATAAAACAAAGATGGTAGCATAACTACAATGATGTGCTGGATTGATTGAGATAGGATGGGATCTAACATGGCAGTAGAGGGGTTATACTGAGAAAGGAACATGGATGGTCCATCTAGGTTATAGCTGGTCAGACAGGCAAGTACTAAGAATATGTGGGGCTCCCTTTTTCCTCTCTCTGTCTCTGTGTCTCTCTGCTTCCTGGCTGCCATGAGCATATCACAGCCTTCTGCCATGATGTCCTACCTTACCTCAGGTCCTAAAGCAATGGAGCTAGCCAACCATAAACTGAAATCTCTGAAACCCTGAATCAAAATAAACCTTTGCTCCCCTAAGTTGTTTTTCTCTGGTATTTGTCACAACAATGAAAAGCTAACTAATACAAGTGGATTCAAAGAATTTGGGGGATAGGGATTCTAGAAGGMATGAGTTAGAAAGACTGACAGATGTGAAAGTGTTTAAGATAGAGATTATGAAAGGAATGCAATTTTTGGAAATAGTAAGATTTAGGGATTTTCAGGATTTATTTATCTAAAAATAGCCAGGTACAGTGGAACACACTCATTATCCTCAGGAGGCTGGGACAGGAGGATAGATTTAGGGAAGGGTTTCTCGATCTCATACTGACATTTTAGAACAGATAATTCCTGATTCACAGGGGCTGTCCCAGGCTTTATAGTGTTTACTGCCATTCATGGTATCTAATAGTATATGCCAGTAATATCAGGCCCTGAGGTTGTGATAACCAAAAATGCCTTCAGACTTTGCAAAATCACTCAAGTTCAGAACCACTGGCTTGGATTATAACTACGTGGTTGAGATCACTGAAGGAGAAAAAGTTAAGAACTGAGAATTGAGGGAACTGAAAGAATCATGTATGAATCTAGCAGAATTGCCAAGAGTTCAGAGAACAGTAGTACTTGAGAGAGTGACAAGGAACAGGAACCACAACAGTTAAAAAGGAAGCAGATGGCTGGATGAAGTGGTGCATACCCGTAATCCTAGCAGCTTGAGAGGCTGAGACAGGAGGATTGCAAGTTCAAAGCCAGCCTCAACAACTTAGCAAGACCCTAAGCAGTGAGACCCTGTCTCTAAATAAAATACAAAAAAATGGCTGGGGATGTGGCTCAGTGGTTAAGTTCACAGAGTTTAATCCCTAGTATCAAAAACAAAAAACAAGCAAACAAAAAGAAGAAAGCAGATGGAGCTGAACACAATGGAGTGTGCCTGTAGTCTCAGCTAAAGGTCAAGGCAGGAAGATCACTTGGGCCAGTTGTCTGACACCAGCCTGGGCAATACACCAAGACCTCATTTCAAAAAAATAATTAAAAATAGCCAGGTACAGTGGTACACACTTGTAATCCTCAGAAGGCTGAGGCAGGAGGATAGCAAATTCAAAGCCAGCCTCAGCAACTTAGCAAGGCCCTACGCAACTCAGAAAGACCCTGCTCAAAATAAAAATAAGCAGGGCTGGGATGTGGTTAAGCACCCCAGGGTTCAATCCCTGGTACCCAAAATAAAAATAAAAATGAAGCAGATATCGGTAGATGACAACAATTAAGAGGAATGCCTGACAATCTAATAAGACAAAGCTGATGATATCACCAGTTCCTCAATAGTGGTAAAGTTGGCACTAGAATGGAGCCTCCTTTCCTAGGGCTTTTTTAAATGTCTAGAAGGTGGGCAGACACCTTCACATGATTTTGTGATCAATTAAATTAGACTCACAGTCAAAAATAGGGGTCAGTCACAAACAATTGGCACTATTTCTGACTGCCATATATAACAAACAGCTGAAGGCACATATTTTTGGCTGAATACCAGTCTAAAAATAGGAATGTAACATCTTGGTTTTAAAAATACTTTCAGTTTTCTTTCCAGCCCTTAAAAATATTATACTGCCTTTGATTAGAAAAACATCATCTTTTACTAAATGATTGCATTTACCTATTTGCTATAGAGTAAACATAACAACATTTTCCTTAGATAACCAATCACCTTTCCCTTCATACAGTCTGACCATGAAGGAGAACAAAAAGACCTTAATATTACATGGACTGATTTGCAGTGTTCTCCAACTGTGCATCACCTGCTCCTCTCACTGCCACCTGGAAAGACATCATCCCACCAGACTGCAAGCAGATTTAGAGCAAATGCCCAATTTTCATCCCCACCTCCTTAAAGATATTTATAAGGGAAGTACTCAAAATTAATAGATGTGTCCCTTATACAGAAGCAGCAGCTTCAAGATTGGAAATTCAAACTATACTCTTATATATTAAGTTCCCCCAGAGTACTCTCATTGCAATAATTAAATCTTTAGGCCACAAGAAAGCCAGGTTCACTGAACTTCCACAAGCCCATATGCAGAATTCCATCTTGTTATGTTTAATACTGAATTTAAAATTTTATAATGCATAAACATGAAGCACAAAGATGGTGTCAAGGAACCATATGATGTTATCATCTAAGTCCTGCTCAACTGTATAGATTCCTGAATCGAAGATTTAAAGCTAACACAAGACAAGGATGAAATCTTCTCACTTCAAGTCCCAAAATAGGCACATGTCAGAGCTCACCAATGGTATAATTATTTAKACTTTTATTTAGTATGATTACAACAACTAAGGTATTTTTATGAGTTATTTCTAAACTGGATACTTTGCTATTAGAAAAAGAAGAAAACAAAATCTTCATCATAAGAACTAGAAATAAAACCTCAGTTTTGTCACATATCAGCTGTAATGTTACTTAAAGCATCTGGTTTAACTGTCTCMTCTGTTAAATGGGAATTATACTAACTTAGTCAATGTGAACAAAACATTCCCTATAATATGAATAGCATAGTTCCAACACAATAATTACTCAATAAATGAACAACAGCGCTTTTATTTTGTTGTTAATTAAAACAAACTTCAGAGGATGGAAATAAGATACTCTTACAGATAAGCTTCTCCACTTGAAAGATCAACAAAACATTCTGATTTTTTAATAACATAAAAGTTGGGGTCAGGTATGATTGTGCATGCCTGTCATCCCAGTAGCTTGGGAGTTTGAGACAGTAGAATCACGAGTTCAAAGCCAGTCTCAGCAACTGCAAGGTGCTAAGCCATTCAGTGAGACCCTATCTCTAAATAAAATACAAAATAGGGCTGGGGATGTGGCTCATTGGTTAAGTGCCCCTGAGTTTAGTCCCCAGTACCACAAAAAAAAAAAAAAAAAAGTTGGGCTTAAAGCTATTTTATTATTTATTTATAATTATAAGACAAATAAAACAAAGACYGGGAGCCTACCTTCCAAACTTTCTTGTTCATCAGAAGTATAAGCATCCATCTGACTTTGTTCCCGTAAGAAACGAATAACTGCATAAACTAGGTGCTTGATAGATGACATTTTAGGACCTTAAACACTTCCTTGATAAGAAAAATGAAAAAATTGAGCTAAATTATTTTAAAGAATCATTTAGGGGGCTGGGGATGTGGCTCAAGCGGTAGCGCGCTCGCCTGCCATGCGTGCGGCCCRGGTTCGATCCTCAGCACCGCATACCAACAAAGATGTTGTGTCCGCCGAGAACTTAAATWAATWAATTAATTAATTAATTWAWWAAAAAAAAAGAATCATTTAGGAAAGTTATAAATAATAAAGGAAGGATTACATATTACATTAAAAGTAAAAAACAGCCTAAAAATAGGAATGTAACATCTTGGTTTTTAAAATACTTTCAGTTTTCTTTCTAGCCCTTAAAAATATTATACTGCCTTTGATTAGAAAAACATCATCTTTTACTAAATGATTGCATTTACCTGTTTGCTACAGAGTAAACATAACAAACATTTTCTTTAGATAATGAATCACCTTTCCCTTCATGTAGAAATCCCCCTAAAAGGCCTTAGTACTAAGTTGAGGGGCATTTCATCCTGCTGATAAGATAAATGAAAACACTGAGCTCCATTATTTTAAAGAATCAAGAAAGTTATAAATCACCTTTCCCTGCACTACCTTGAGCTCTTTTTATAGAGTCAAGAGAGCACAAAGTATTATTATGGTAATTTATTACATGTTTTAATTTAAACCCAGTAATATTAGACTACGTTAAGTTTTCCATCAGTAATGTTTTTCAAAATACGTATAACATAAGCATAAACTTTCACTGTTATCTATATGGTATAGATACAGGAAAGGAATACAAATATAGATGTAGAAATCCCTCTAAAGGCCTCAGTACTAAGTTGAGGGGCATTTCATCCTGCTGACTCAGAAGATGCTCCTTGTTGAACATCTTCCTCTGGATCATGAGTTTTTAAAAAGTACTAATAATTTATGTTCCAGCTACCTTCATAGGTTGAGAGTCATTTGCTGAGGAAATACACTTAAGAACGGTTGTTCAACCATTGAGTGTCATTCTTGATAAAGGGCATTTCTATAATCCACGTACAAGTCAAGCAATTATTGCCTAAACCGATGGTTACTACAAACCCATCAGCGCTGTCTGCAGTAACTGGAAGCCCCTGGTCCTGTTCATTCACATGGAATACTATTGCATTCAAACAGTGGCGCAGGGCCAGCCAGCATTAATGGCTTATTTCCACTAAATCGCATCATCCATCTGCTCCCCAGGCTCCCTAATTCAAAGCCAGGGTGTGGTAACGCCACTAGGATGTTTATTATTTGGGTGCTTATTTTAAAGGCGAACCCAGCCTCTAGGCCATGGGGTATTACAAATTCTAAATAAGGCCCCAGGACCGAAGGTGAAAACAGATCGGAAAGACGGGGCACCGAAGGGAAAGGAGATGTGTAACCCCCTCCAGGCTTCTCCTCCTACCTCTCCTCAGGGCACATCCACCTCCCACTGCAATCCTCCTTCCCTCCGGTTACCSGGCCTCGCCTCGGCTCAGACGAGGTTTGCAGCGGGTGCGCGGTGCAGGCCTCCGTCTGGAGCTGCGGGAGACTCACCCTTTCCAGACAGAAGCCCCTTACCAGGCAAGAGGACGCGAGACGACGGCTGCGGGCCCCGGGGCGTTCGTAAGTCGGGCCGCTGGTGCCTGGTCCTCAAGGCTGGAGCTTGGCTCGGGATCACAGCACTGGCCGGAGTCGCCCAAACTTCCCGGCTCCCGCGCCGCCGCCGCCGCCCCCTCAGCCCACCCGGCTGCGCGCTTGGCTCGGGGCTGCTGGGTCTCGCCGGTTCCGCCCCGGGGGCGGTGCAGGACGCGTGGGGCGGGGAGGGGCGGGGCGCAGGGCGGGCCGGGGCGGGGCGCGGCGCGGGGCGGGCCTCCGTGGGCGCCGGCGTGGGGCTGCAGCACGTGGGAGGGCGCTGGCAGGCCAGCCGTCGCCGCGGTTCCGCTGTGGCCTTCAGCGMTAGGCCCACTCTCCGCTGCCGGGCGCCCGCCTCGGTCGCCCCCAGACCTCAAGACCACGCACCCGCTGCTGCCGGCCTCTCGGCGTGCCCATGATTGCCCGGTGCCTTTCGGCTGTGCGAGGCCTCCACAGGTACTTGCCGTGCGCGGGTTAACCTTGACCATGGTCAGGGTGGGGTCTTCTGCCCGGTTAATGCCAGGCGCCCTGGAGCAGGCTTTCCCCTCCCACGCACCTGGGAACCCCACCTCCTCACCAAATGCCTGGGCGACCCCTTAGGGACACCTGACGTGACTACCTGGGGTCACCTTTCCCTCCGGGATTCCCTCGAGAGGACATCCATTCCCCTTTGTTTGGGACTGCCTTTGCCGCAGTCAGCTAGACAGGTCACAGACTCAGCCGAAAATGAATGCAGAGAGCTGGGCTAGTTACGAAATGCTTTCATTTTCTCCCTTACCCAGAACTGCAGACCTGGCATTGAAAGTGCAGCAGTTGTAGACTTAGGAATAACAATTCTCATTTGCCCCTCATTCACATCATTAGCATTCCAGTCGTTTAACATATACACAGGAAACCGCTTTGGTTTTGCCGCCTATTTCCGTCCGTGCTTTTTAATTTCCTTTTTATTTTCCTCCTCGCCATAAAACAAACATTCTGCCTCTTGTCAGAACCTATTGACTTGGCCCCAAAATTAAAGCTGTTTTGAATTGCTTCCTAACCACACCCCTCACAACAGACCAGTAGCAAGATGGTAAAAGAATTAAATTCTTTGCATGAATGCACTGGTTTTCGGAAACAATGCAGCCACCACCCCCATACCCAAATCTGACCAGAACTGTAAAGCCAAATGAAGTTTCAATTAAAAAAAAGGAAGGTGTGTTTTGTCCTCGTTGTCTACAAAACTACTTTGGAACATGTCATCATTTAAGCTTTGTACAGTTTTCTATTGTCCATTGCCACTCAATTGTGTGGAGCTTTGTGTTGCTCAGTCTTGTGGAGTTATTGTGCATCCAGGGTACAATAGTAATTATAAAGAGTTAATGTGATGATTGTGAACATATTTTAGGTTGTCCTTTTTTTTTTTTTTTTTTGCTAATCTCCACACTGGAATGGTATTGCTGGCTAATAAAGTTATACCAACAAATGAAGATCTTTACATAATGCAGGTGTAAGGAGAGAATAAGTTGTCATTTAAGACAGTTCTTAACCTTTTTAAGTCTCAAGATCCCTTGAGCTCTCAAAAATTGTTAAGAACCTAAGATTGATTTGGGTTATATCTGCCCTATTTACCATATGATAAATTAAAGCTGTAACATTTTTTTTCAGTATTTATTAGTTTATAAACAGTAATAAGTGTATTACATGCATAAATATTTTGTTTAGCCATTCATCTGTCAGTACACACTTGGATTGCTTCTGCCTTTTGACTGTTGGATAATGCTTTGTGATCATTGGTATGTAACTATGTTTGAGTCTGCTTTCAGTTCTTTGGGATATATACCTAGATGTGGAAAATGCTGGATCATATGGTAATGCTGTGTTTAATAATAATCATTCTAGGAATGTGATCATTTTGAATTTTTGCAAAACTAATGTGTGGCAATACAAGATAGCTGGATTTTTACATTTGCTCCTGCATTAAATTTATTTTACTTTTTTGTTTCGATTTAAGAAGATGAGGAAAATCCCACCCATACTCATGCAGTTGGAAAGAGGAATTGTTTAATAGCTTTTTATCACATCAATTTTCAACAAATGGTAGTTTGAAAAAGTTTAATTGCAAAATGGAATCTGAAACTATGTCAATGTGTTTTTCTGACTGTTACATTAAAATTCACCGGGGTATCCTAAATCTTTTAATGAATCTTCTACCCTTCTWTGATTTTATAACATCAAACATGGTTCATTTGGAAATTAGTGGTTGCCTTGTTCTATAGATCTTCCTAATGTTGGCATATTCCATTATATAATATCGAACAGTCACATTCCTTAATGTCCTTATCAATCTTAGAAATGTTTTTAAGTGTTGGAAAGCTGTCAAGCTCACATTGCAGAAAGAAATTTCCAAACTTCTAATGTTCATTTGAAAGCTAGAATTTCATCATTAGCAACACATACTGTCAAGTTTTTTCCCTTGAAGTGACAGTCTCACTTTGTTACATTTTTTTAATTTAAATCACTTTGTTACATTTTTGACAGAACTTCTGCCAAATATTTAAGTCAGAATAATCATGATTTGTCTGAAAGTAGTTTGATCAAGTAAAAGTGGTGCTCCATTAAAAAAAAAAAAAAAAGAAAGAAAAAGAAAGGCAGTTTTAGTTCACAATTCATTCAGTTGCACAAGTGCATTTTATTTGGACAACTGTTGTACTCAGGTGTACAACAGAAATGCTTTGCATGTACTAGTATTCCTATACATTAAGAGCTGAGATCTCATAAAATTCATAATTTTTGCTATTTTATCAAAAGACATTCTAAGTGAAACTGACATTATTTTTAGCATGAGAGTGAGGTGGTAAAAGAATACAACTACTAATACAGTTTGGTGCCACTGCTTTGATTTGTGCTAAGGAGCCAATAGTTTTTTTCCATCATTCCTTTTCATCATCAGTACAAAGTCAATACAGTTTTTTAAAGTTTTTTAAAAAGATGCCTTTATTGGGGCTGGGGATGTGGCTCAAGCGGTAGTGCGCTCACCTGGCATGGAGGCGGTGGGTTCGATCCTCAGCACCACATAAAAATAAATAAATAAATAAATAAAGATGTTGTGTCCACCGAAAACTAAAAAAATAAATATTAAAAAAATTCTCTCTCTCTCAAAAAAAATGCCTTTATATCAAATATTTTTAACTTCTGACTTCTTGAAAAGGCCTCAGGGATCTATCCCATACCTTTACTCCCAAGATTTGTGGACTACTTTTTGAAAACTGCTGGAATGTGCTATCCATTTTCTTTTCTTTCTTTCTTCCTTKCTTCCTTTCTTAATATATTTTTAGTTGTACATGGACACAATACCTTCATTTCAGTTTATTTTTTTTTTTAATATGGTGCCGAGGATTGAACCCAGCACCTCATGCATGCTAGGTAAGTGCTCTACCACTGTGCCACAACCATGGCCCCTCTTTCTTTCATACATATGTATATATACGTATATATATATATATATGTGTGTGTGTATATACATGTGTGTATATATATATATATATATATATATATATATCTTTATATGTTTTTTTAGTTGTCGGTGGTTCTTTATTTTATATGTAGTGCCGAGAATCACACATGCTAGGGAAGTGCTCTACAACTGACCACAACCCCAGCCCCCAAATTCTTTCTTTAAGAAAATATGTAAAAAGCACAGAAGCTGTTGTTAGAAGCTGGTGATCTACCATGTTAAACTGACTATGTTGTTATTTCAGGGTATTTATTGCAGTTAATCACCATATACAGTAGTCCATGATTTAGGGCTTAGGTGACTTAATCACAGAATCTACTCTTTGTTCAAAGTTTGTACCCTCCAAAAAAGGTTAATATTGGACAACATGGCCTCTGTGTTCTCATGTGTTTTTCCTGTTCTGACACTGGGGAGTTCATTTTAGCGTGAAAATGAACTAGGCATTAACTAGACTTTTGTTTAACTGACTTAGGTTTTCCCTTGGGTGTTCCTGTTGGCAGAGCTGCTATACACCCTTCCCAAGGTCATCTTGGTAGCCAGGATCAAGCCAAATTTCTTGAGAATAAATAGACTCAGGATCTGAGGATTGGTTGTAGTTGCTGTTCAGCTAACTTTTTGACCTTAATCATTCACTTCATTGTACCTCTCTCTGGTTCTTTATTTTGCAAAATGAAAAGAACTAAACTAAATTATATCTAAGCTTTTTTTTTTTTTCCTAATTCTATGTTGCTATAGCAATTAAACCAGGAGAATTTGCCTTCCACCCTCGGCCTGATTACACAGCATGTGAGCTCAGCAAAATTTAATGTATATCACAGGATGAAGGATGGATGGCATGGTCAGAGAAAAAAATGAGAAGGGCTATTCAACAACATTAAGCCCAAATTATAGATGTAATAACCCTAGTTTTCTCTTTCATTAAAAAAAAATAGCTTGGTTTGGTTTTTAAAATTGTGACAGCAATATAAGTTTTAATAGGAAGTTAGAAATAATCACAAACAAAAGAAAATATTAAAAAGATACACAGTCTACCCAACCAGAAAAACCAGTTACTAATAGCTTCCAAAATATCTTCTGTCTACAGCTTATTTTTTCTTTTTTTCTTTTCTTTTTTTCTGGTTGTAGATGGACAGAATCCTTTTATTTTATTTATTTTTTTATGTGGTGCTAAGGATCAAACCCAGTGCCTCACGCATGCTAGGCAAGCACTCTGCCACTGAGCTACAGCCCCAGCCCCTGTATACAACTTTTTAAAAAACAAATGAAATGGCCATACTTATGATTTTTAATATAATATAAATATCCTTCCATAATATAAATGACTACATAGTCCATATATTCATATATGACATTTGATTAATCTCTATCTTTGGACACGTCAACTATTTCTAACTCCTTGCTATGGGTAATGGTACTTAGATAAACATTCTTATTAGGCTTTTCCAAGTCCTTAATTATTTTCTTAATAAAAATTCCTTATGAGTGGTATTGGCATATTACAGGGCATATAAATCTTGTAGGTCTTTAGTACTTTTTATCATATTCTTCTCCTAAAATCTCACACAAATTATACTGAAACAGCATAACATGTAAGTGTAGTAGTTTGCATATTTGATACATAGTTTCTAAGCATTTCAGTATTTTTTATCCTTACCAGTTTTATAAATAGAAACTTCTCTTAATGTTCATTTCCTTCCATTTTTTTGATGGTTTATTCAATGGGTATAATTCCTTAAGAAAAATTTGGGAATGTGATATAGAAACTAAAAAAGTTGTTTTCTAATGCAAAAATTTATTCATATAGAAAATCTTAGGGCTGTGGTTGTGGCTCAGTGACAGAGCACTTGCTTTGCACATGTGAGGCACTGGGTTCGATCCTTAGCACAACATAAAATAATAAAATAAAATAAAGGTATCATGTCTATCTACAACTAAAAGAATATTTAAAAAAGAAAAATCT